AACCAAACAAACAAACCACCCAAAATAAATAAAGCTTAAACATTAAGTAAAATCCATTTTAGAATTAAGTTGATTGTGAAAATTGCTGTATGCTTTACAACAGAAAGCCAGAGCAATATATCTCCATACTTTACAGCTACTGAAACATAAACTACTGTTTCCCTAACTCTGAGCTTTCATCAATTTATTTCTTTGTCAAGGGTTGGGTACAGGATGAAATAATAGGTAATATGTTAGAGTGTTTCTATCATTTCTCATTTTCTCCAGTCATTTCTGATGGTCTGGGAAATGGGTACATCCACATTAAGATATGCATTCCTACATGCATAAATCCACAGGTAAATAAATGTATGCAAAAATAAGAGCATCATCTTTGGGAAGAAAATAAGTTGGCCATGAAAGCAGAGAAACGTTGAGAACATAAGTATTGACTTTAATTTTATTTACAAATGATATGCCACTACATGGTAGATAACGTCTTTATTCTTCGACTGATAAAGCCAGTGATATTTTCTATACAAAGTAGAAAAGTTTTCAATAAAGATAATGATTTATCCTTATTGAAATATTGACTATCCTTCTTCTGGATTGATTGTACCTTCTGTGAATTTATAGAATAAATGGACAGGTCATCTCCATTACTTTCCAAATAGAGTGTGGCTTCATATGAGTTTACATGTTCAGGAGGAAAAGTTGGTGGAGACAACAAGTTGGCCTCTTGCTGTGGACACCATCTCTGAAGACGAGCTACCCAAGGAAAGCCACACATGAGCCTGCAAGCATCACTGACATGCAGTGGAGCACTTAAGAAGACTTTGGAGACAAACACTTATTGCTCTTACACCTCCTACATCCTGTTTCATTACCTATGTAGCCCAGCTGTGACCCAGATGTCAGCCAGCTGGATGTCTTCAAGATCCCCAGCCGGCCAGGGTCAGCTTGTTCTTAAAATATAATTTAAGTGAACTCAAACCACAATCTTAAGTACAGTGAGTTCCCTGTGTTCTTCCAGTGGGTCAGTGATGCTGAGCAGTATGTCTCTTCTAGGTGCTTCTGAACCCCTCTGCTTCAGTTGATTTCATAGGGAATAGAAGTGAAAGACCCCATGCCACACACATATATTTTTGTAAGAATTGAGTTAGGTGGCACGGGTGAAAACATTTCATAAAGCAAAAAGAGCTGCTGAAATAGCAAAACAGTAAAGTGACTGTAAAAACCTAAAACCTAGAAATGTCCAGTGCTCTCAGAGGAAGGGCCACCAGAATCCTTTGAAGCTGGTGAGCTGGGAATTCTAAAAGCATGCTTTGCTAGCCCTTTTTAAGGAAGGACACGCACCTAATTCCCTGGGTTCTGCCAGATCTGTTAACACAGTAGTTTCCAGCGTGTTAATCAGTTGCCCTGGTGTGCACACGGCTCTCAGTCTCCTAAACCTCACATCCCGCTCTCTCCAGAAGAAGCTGATCCCAGCTTAGTTCAGACAATGTTCTGCTGCGACACTCACACAGGTCCTATTGTCCCACATCACTTTCATGTGACCAAACACTCAAAGCTACCAGATCTGGTGCTTATTCTGTTAGAGTGGAAGCAATTCTGATTGGCGAGACTGGTTTTTGAAAGGGTGGGATAAAGTTCATTTATCTTTGGCCCTTTAAAAATATATGTTATAAATTTTCTTATAGCCCAGCAAAAACCCCATTCATAGAATATTGCACAGAAAATTAGAATAATGCTTATTTTTAACAAGTTAAATGAGACTTTAAAACAAGAAATTAAGACTGTGTTATAATCTGGGATGTACAATGACCTGGCCTGCCCAACCTCTTCCCACAGGCTGAGTGACATGAGTGCCAGGTCCTATCTGTCACATGCTACTGTCTCATATCCTGCTTCATCTGCAAAGGTTTGTGTGTCAGAAGTACTGCTGTATCCCCTAATCCATACACATACATAATTAAAAATAAAAATAGATCTTTAAAATTAATAACAGTTTAAACTAAGCTAACATTGTTAAGGACCTTACTCAAATGAACATGAGCCACTAAGAGGATGTAATAAACAAGACACGTTTTAAGATATGTTTCCAAACACTCTGCATTTGCAAAAGAGTGTCAGAATGATGAATTTACTTCTTCTGGAATTTAATTTGGGTGACACAGACCCAAAATCCTCTGTACCTTGCTTTATGCACTCAGATCTATTTCATCTAGGTCAAAGACCAATGATGAAGTAAAACAAGAAAATGCTAAAGGTTTGATGTTGAACACATTTCTGGAGTAGAAATTGTGGTTTTGTCTTCTTTTGATTTTTTTTTAAATGTGGGCTTCCAACACTTTCAGTTGAAGGACAGATCACAGATGTAGAATTCAGATACTGATGAAGGACACCATATACATGGGTTTCACTGCCTTACTTTTTACTTGAAAAATGTTTTCACAGTTGAATTTAGGAATAAGTATTGAATCTATGGTGGTTTGAGTTAGGCGTGTTTCATACAGAATGCCATGGCAACACCCACACTCCCCTGTAGCAGCCAACAGATATGCTTAGCTCTCTATCTGCAGAATTTCATAAGAATTTTTTGGTCCTTAAAAACAGACCTCTAGATAACAATGAACATCTTGTTTCATTGGTCCACAGGAAAAGTGGACCTCCAGAAGGTCAGAGGTAACTGGGCATGTCTATAGCACTTCTCAGGAGGAGAAAAGACTTCACTAAGTGTCACTGCTCTGAGACATCTCCTTTGCTGGTCTTCTTCCTCATGTGACTTTGCTGTGATGGTTCATTCAGCTAAAGGGTCAAAACAGGGCACAATCCTAAAGCTTTCCCTTTCTGTTTCTCAGAATCGCATCACACATGACCTGCCATGATGGTAGGTTCCTGACAGTGCCCACACTTGTCACCCACGCAGTCAGTGTGGGCCTAGATTTTTGTGGAGGAGTTCTTCGGTCCTCTGACATCTGATTGGCAGCTCTTCCTGCTGTCCACTCTAATGCGGTCTGCACTGTTTCAAGACCATGCCCTGTGCACACGTTTGTCCAGTGCGACATGACCCACCTCCCTTCAAAAAAAACAGGTGCTTGCCTCACTTGAGTAAGACTCTTAACAATGGAGCTTAGCGTAAACTCTGTTATTACTTATTTTAAACATTTATTTTTACTTTTAATTACGTATGTGTATGTGTGCCCGTATCAAGTGGTGGGTATTTCAATTTGCTTTCTATTGCTGTGACAAAATACTGTGAGTCAAAGCAATTTGGGGAGGAAAGGGTTAATTTCCCCTTATAGGTTACATCCTTTATGAATGGAAGTCAGGAGAGAAGCTCAAGGCAGGAACCTAGATGCAGGAATTGGAGCAGAGACCATGGAAGAATGAGCTCACTGACTTGCTCCCAGGGCTTGCTCAACAGCTTTGGTCCACGATCCAAGACCACCTGCTGAGGGGTGGTACAACGCACATTAGTCATTAATCAAGAAAATGCCCTACCTATTTGCCTACAAACAGTCTAATGGAGGCCTTTTCTCATTTGAAGTTTTTCTTCTCAGATAACTCTAGCTTGTGTCAAGTTGAGCAAAAAAGAAGAAAAAAGAGTGTAGGTGTCTAAAGACATCAGAAGAGGACAATGTACCCTCTGGAGCTAGTGTTACAGGTGGTTTTGGTAGTAAGCAGCCCAGCGAGGATGCTGGGAACCAAACTTGGGTCATCTGTTAGCAAAGTACATTCTTCCAACTGCTCAACCATCTCCCCAGCCTCTTCATTTCAACTTCTAATAAAGACATTTTTTTCCTCCAGTTGCAAGAATGAGTGTTTAGCCAACTATCCCGATTTTGTAGTTTGAGATTTCCTTCTAAACATATTTTTCCTTGACTTTTCTTCAAAGTTTACTATGGTTACAATATAACATAGGCTTTCAAATATTATGCATTAAAAAACAAAGGAGGTTGGTAAAAATAAAAGAGACATACTCATAATATCTGAAGAAATTTTCCTCCAAGATGAAAGGTTTTCATTTCACAGGAAAGTGCGTCACAACAGAAGCACTAAGAAAGGACAAAACTGTCAAAAACCAACATAGTGTCTGTGGCAGGGCAGAGCAGCCTCAGATTTGTGGTAGGCAGTGTGTGAGTGTGAGTGTGAACATGTGGAAACCAGTGGCCATCCTGAGTGTTGTTCCTCAAGTCCATCTTCTCTTTTGAGACATGGTCTCCTGTTGGCTTGCAGCTTGCCAATGAAGCTAGGCTGGCCGACCAACCAGGCCTAAGGAGCTGCCTGTGTCCTTCTCTCCAGGGCTGGGATTATAAGCAGGTACCCCCATACCTAGCCTTTATGTGTGTTCTGAGGATCACAGATAGGTCTCCATCCTTTCACAGAAAGCACTTTTCCAGGTACCTGAACCATCTCTCCACCTCCAGCCCTCATATCCCAGCATGTGCCTCAGGGGCTATTTAGCAAGATGGAGCTAGTGAAAGCAAGATAAATGTTGTTTCTTAAGTCTAGAAACGTGGCTTAAGAAAATTTTTCTAGGTGTGTAGCAAACTAATTCAGCTAATTTTCGTAACTGACTTCTATTATGGATTTTTTATTGTAATTTTGATTTTAAAGATAAATGAAGGCATAGAAAGGCAAACTATTCCTAAAAATCTATTTAAAATGTAGTGTTAGACTTCAATACCACCCGAATTCTGAAGTCCAGATACACTGACTCTATGCCATCCCCCACACACTTTAACATGACATATGTGCACGTTGAATCTCTGAAGTATATCGGACGCAAATGTCAGATTCATTTGGCAGACTTGTTTGGAAACTCACCACAGAACCTCCTCGGTGAGGCGTAGGTAGACCTGTGCCTTCTCTATGACAGCTCTAATCTGTTCAGATATAATTTACTTTTGCCAACGTCTACATTCAAAGAGCTAGTGCGAGGCAGTGAGAGGATGAGCTACGAACATGCGCCTTGGTCTTGTGCTTGTCTGAGTTAATGTTTGCCTCCTTCCTTCCAGATGCTTCATTCCAAACATCTATGCTGCTCTGTTCACGGCTGCTCTTGTTCCTCTGATGTGCCTCGTGGTGGTGTTTGTGGTGTTCATTCACGCCTATCAGCTGAAGCCACAGTGGAAAGGTTATGACGATGTCTTCAGAGGACGCACAAACGCAGCAGGTTAGGAAAGAACTATTTTTGCATTTTAGAAATGGGAACTCCTCAAGGGGGGAAAATTCCATGGAGGTTTTTGTGTCCTGGGTTTTTTGCTTGGTTTTGTTTTTAAAGGAAAGGGAAGGATGAGATTAGGTTCAGCTTTCAGCACTGAACCCTTGGGTTAAACTAAGCTCTCTGGTGTCTACTGCTTGGTCCTTCCTGGCAGCTCTCCTTCTCAGGGCCTGTGGGTTTTATTGCTGTTTCCAGTTTCCCTTAAGGTGTCACGGTCCAGGCCAGTGAGTCACTGGCTTCGGGAATCGCTTCCCAGGCTTTCCCCAACTTAGGCAATAACCACCTGCATTCAACCTGTGAAGTCACTTCACTTCCTGCCCATTCTGAGACTTCAGAATCAAGCAAACCTTTGTGGTGCTCAGGAGCATTGGGTTTTGCATGCAGCTTTCTGATTCAAGCCGACAGATGCTTTAAAACGTGTGTAATCGGACAGCCTCATAAGTGGCTACACATGTCTGCTTGCTTAAGAGGACAAATCTTTCCAGCTTGAGCTGGCTTTCACTGCGGCTCAGTTTTTCCCTTTGAATCATGCTCAGGTTTTTATGATCGGATTCTCTTTTCATTGTCCTTAAAATAGAGTTTCCTAGGAATTTCCTTGACTAGGAACAATAACAGCACACCTACAGACAGAAATGGTTGCTTAAACACTGTGTGGGTACCCAAGAGACTGGGGGAAGACTTATGAACTGGAAAGGGGCACCTCTTGGAACAGTGATTGTCTTCTAAGCTTCTGCAAATCTAACCTCAAATGGGTGGCCATCTTGGGGTAATTAATCACAATTTAAATGCTTGTCAGAATTTAAGCAGGATACCATACATGAAGTCCCTGAAATCGTGTCTAATACATCATCAAGGGTTCAGTAGATATTTTCACTCAAAAGATGTGAGTGTGATAGGAGAAAGCTTTCTAGCCCCTATAAACTGGATCAGGGTGCAAAAGCATTGTTTATGAACTGCTAAGAAGGGCACTCTCGTGAGGTTTATTCAGAAGAACTGCAGGGTCTGGCATCTTATCCCCTCTCCTCCCATCTCTCATCTGCCATGACAATGTGTGGAGAAAAGTGTCTGTAATCATGAGCAGCCTTAAATTTATCAATACAAAAGTAATATTTATTATAGAAGTCCTACTTTTTCTTAGTTCCTGGAATGTTTTCATTCAACTTGTGATTCGTTGTAATAAAATGGCCATTATGTTTTAAAGGAAAAGAGGGTTTTTTTTGTTGTTTTGTTGTTTTGGTTTGTTTTTTAATCAACTGTCTTTTGTTTAGTCACAATGTAAAAGTGCCAGTGTTGTTATGTGTAGTGGCACATGCCCTTAATCCCAGCACTCAGATCGCTTTGAGTTCAAGGCCCATCTGCTCTACATAGTGAGTTCCAAGCTATCCAAGCCTATGCAGGGATCCTGTCTCAAAGGGAAAAAAAGTGCCAGTGTATTAGTCTATCCATTTTAGCCATGGTAATAATATGAAGACCTAACAGAGCCAGTTAATCCTTTAAAGACTTGTCTCCCTACACGTCTCAGATTTGTTCCATCACCAAGACAATGCTCTGGTTATCAGAACATAGATCCCTCACACACTGAACATGATGGTAGGTGTACCATCACAGATGTATCTCAGCTACAGAACCCACTCTACAAGGAGATACTAACAGAAGGATGGCTTCATCTATCCTTTCTGAAGCAAAATATTCATGGCGTTTCTGGTTCCCTTCTTTTTGTGTGTTTGTGTGTGTGTGTGTGTGTGTGTGTGTGTGTGTGTGTGTGTGTGTGTGTGTGTTTGTTTTGAGACAGGGTTTCTCTGTGTAATAGCTCTGGATATCCTGGAACTTGCTCTGTAGACCAGAGAGATCAAACTCAAACTCAGAGATCCACCTGCCTCTGTAGCTAGAGTTTTCCTGCCTGGCCCACAGTCAGGACAAATCTCTCTCACCTGCCAGTCCCACAGCCACTCAGACCTGACCAAGTAAACACAGAGACTTATATTGGTTACAAACTGTATGGCCGTGGCAGGCTTCTTGCTAACTGTTCTTACAGCTTAAATTAATCCATTTCCATTAATCTATACCTTACCACATGGCTTGTGGCTTACCGGCATCTTCACACGCTGTTTGTCATCGTGGTGGCTGGCAGTGTCTCTCTGACTCAGCCTTCCACTTCCCAGCTTTATTCTCCTCCTTGTCCCGCCTATACTTCCTGCCTAGCCACTGGCCAATCAGTGATTTATTTATTGACCAATCAGCAACACACTTGACATACAGAACATCCCACAGCATGCCTCTGCCTCCCAAGTGCTGAGATTACAGGAGTGCGCCACCACCTCCAGGCTCCTGATTCCCCTCTTGGGCTCCTGATTCCCCTCTTCAGCTCCTGATTCCCCTCTTTTACTGATAATCTAGTCTGAGTAGTTAGTGCCTCATGTCTGGGCTTGTTACGTCTTTCTGATCAGTTTCTCTTTATCTAGTCTCTTTTTTTTTCTCCATTTCAATAACTCAGATGCCTGTACTTCAAAACTGAAGCAAATATCTTCACTCTCCAGCTTTGAGGCTGAGTTTTCTCAGGACCCAATAGTCCAGTTTCTGTTGTCTACAAGAGTCCCCAAAACCCACTGCTCACCCAGAATTAGTACTATTTGTCCTACATCCTGACCATGTCAATCTACTTACCTTTTCCTAAAATTGTCAGATACAGCTCTCTATGCCCTGTAAGGAGCTCTGTTAAATGAGATGGGGACTTCTGAATGAGATAAAGAGGTAAATGTGGTTTATCACACTCCCAGAATCTTCACTAACTCCTAAAATAACCCTAAATCCAGTTTAAAATGGTGTAAACACAAGTTGATTTCTCTCAGTCTCACTCTTATAGAAATCCTGAAGTCCTTCAGCATCACACTTTATCTGTGAAACTCTGGGATCACCTCTTTGCAGCATCACTGCAAATGGGAATCACTCCTTCCCTGTGCCTTGATTTGTGTAGTAACTACAAATGTCCTCATTTGTGTAGTTACTACAACCCTTGTCATAGAATGGGTCTGTGGCTTGTTGAACTTTGTGTGGTTAACTATATAAATCATTCCTTGAGAACAAGGAATATTCAAGACTCATTTATGTATCCCTGGCATCTTTCAGAGTACTCATTGGATAGCAAGAACATGGTTGATATTCTAAAATAATTGAATAAATGAATTAAGGTACTATAAATCCTATAATGGTAGTCATGGGTACCCTATGGAATATGTCACAAGAACAGGTACTGCTACGTCATCAAAAGTGGAATTAAAATGATCTGTCTTGTTGATCTGTTTGTCCATTCCATTAAAAATATTGTGTAATTTGCACTCTTTTTTCCCGTCCTTTCCTTCTGTGGGTCTCAGAACTATGTTTGAATTTACTCTTTAATAGCGCATTTGAAACCCACTGTTACTCCACTTAATGTGCCCCATATACTGCAAATCCAAAGAAACAAGTCTTTCCTACTCTAATCAGGAACATTTAATACTTTACTTGAATCTTCTTGTTAAAATTGGATTGTGCTGACCTTTAAAATATCCAATTAAAGTGGCACTGTAAATTAGTGTTTTATCTCTCTACCCTACTCACTATAGATAGTAGCTAAGAATAGCATATTAACAAAAGAATATTAAAAATAAGATGAATATATCTTTGTAGGTCAGAACAGAGCAGAAGCATAAAATGGTGATCTGAGCCCCGAACCCTAATATTTCCTGAGATCAAATAGATGTGGATGCAAACTCTCACCTGCTCTGGTGGTGAAATGGAGCCTGTAAGATTCTAATCCACTGTGGGAAAATATGGACAATGGATCCCTCATGACAGAAGCCCGGGAGAGCTGCTTAGGAGTTTCAGATTTGACTTAGAGCAGTGTGTCAACCCAAGAAGACAATCACATCCCATTAAACACGAGTACCAAGCTCTTCAGAGTTAGAGCCATAATGTCACCATGGAAAATGAAGGACCAAGACATCAAAATACTCCCTGAGGGCTCTGAAAGCTTCAGGAGTGTTTGGGGGAGGCAACCACAGAACCATTTCAATGGTAAAGGTTGAGAAAAAATAGAGTGGATAGAGAAACAAATGTTTTCTATTCAAAAAATAAGGAAAACTAATCAGCATAGACCTTTAAATGTAACAAAAGGTGACTTTAAAGCATGAATCTGGTCCGACGTGGAGGTCTGTAAGAGATTTAAAATGAATGAGTTAATGTCCCTGAGAAGTAGGAAGCAGTGAAAAGGACCCTGCAAGCCACTGGGCAAACCACTTCCGCATTTTATCTGTTCACTCTAGAAAGCTTTGCTGAGATGTAGTTTATACACTGGAAAGTTCCTCTGTTCAAATTGTCCAGTCTGATGAGGGTTAACTTGTTCATACAGTTATGGAACTACACCATAGTCTAACTTTAGAACATCTTCATGACCGATAAGAAGCCTCACACTCATCAGTAACCCCTCCCCATGCTCCACCTTCTTGAGCTGCAGATTCCCAATAACCCATCTTCTCCCCATCTCGGTCTCCATGTCTACTCAGGATGCTTTATATAGTGGGATCCTAGAACATGTGGTTCTGCGTGTCTAGCTTCTTAGATAGATGTGCTCCAAGTTCATATCATCACACAGACCTTTTTTTTTGTTTTGTTTTGTTTTGTTTTTTTTGTTTTTTTTGAGACAGGGTTTCTCTGTGTAGCTTTGCGCCTTTCCTGGAACTCACTTGGTAGCCCAGGCTGGCCTCGAACTCACAGCGATCCGCCTGGCTCTGCCTCCCGAGTGCTGGGATTAAAGGCGTGCGCCACCACCGCCCGGCCCACACAGACCTTTTTATTGTACCTAGTATCTTTTAACTGCCAAACAACAGTCCACTGTAAGGACTCTCTAATAAGTATTTCCATTAGTTGAGGGACATTTGGGCTGGTTTCTCTTTGGGGTTAGTAAAAACTGTAAT